CCACGCCTCCTGCTGATAGAGGACAAATATGTGTTTTTAATTTTGTTTTATTATTAATTAACTTTTAATTACTTAAGATGTCATGTGGAACATGGTGCAATAATTGCAGCTCCTTACAAACATTATGTAAAACAAAAACTTGATTAAAAAGAGTAGTGGAGAGTTTATTGCCAGTTCTTCTCTTCCGTTCTACGCCCTTGATTTGAGAACTGGCAGTAAATGTAAAATTCGAAGCATTTAGCATTTAATATGTATTTCTTTATTGACGTTCATAAGTGTGCATTGTGTTTCAAATTAATAAACGATTTTGGCTTTGACTTGACTTGACCCACTATAAAATAATAATGATCTAAGAAACTATCTGAGGCTACACCCATTTAGTGTGGTAACGCTTGGCTTATTATTATTAATTTAAATAAGTTATGAAAACGTTAGAAAAAACTTTGTTGTTATCTTAAAGGTGCCTCTCAATCCTTTATACGTTTTCGTATCTCAGAATATACATGAGAATCACAGATGCAAGTCGTTGAATCTCATTCAGGGGGATATATGCCAAATATTTTTCTTCGGCCCCTATTGTGCTGTCTTCGGAAAATATAGTGTACTTAGACATAATGTTTTTAAAAGTACTTGAAAATATATCGAGTTTATTTTGCTGAAAGGTAAGTTTTCCTTGTATAATACTTTTTGTAATTGAACTTTTACTTGGCGTAAACTCAAATGAAAAATTCATTTTTCTTTACAGTTACGGACAAGTCTTATTGTGCATTAATTGATTTATTAAGTAGAAAAAAACGATACATCACTTTAATATAAACAAAAAAACGAAATAAAATATATAATATGAGTATTTGCTGTATTCTAGAAAAAAATCAAATAAAAATAAATATTTAAAAACAAACACATAATGACAGCAGAACGGTAGACAAGAGATCACATAAGAAGCCGTCATAAATACTAACAATAACAACCATGAAAAAGATTAAAAATATAATACTAAGAAAAGTATAAAAAAATTGTTTTAGTTTTAATTTTGTTTTAACAATTCTTTTAAGAATATATACAGTTATGGTTAACCCCTGAATCGATCCCAGGACCTCTCATTATAAAAAAAACTAAACGCCAACTTCGCTTTCATCTAATAGTGCCGAGAGTATTCACATTAGTTTTTGCTACCTAATTAAAAGTAAGTTAAAATTGTAAGTCCGTTTATTTACATGCGTCTATTGTTAAACATAGCTGTGCTCTGTGTATCTTTATACATTTTACAAAAGTCCGGACCCTAACTATATAAAGGAAGTAGTTGCCATTACGCCCAAATGCTTTAAACATCGTATGTCTGCGTGAATAATGAAACGAGCAATTTTCACCCTAAGAATATTTATCTATGCGTAAATAAGGTTTACAACTGTTTCAAATGTTGAAAAGTTTCTTTAGGATAATGTTAATATTGTTTAATCGTCTCGATGATTTCCAAGAAATTTGGAGACATAGATAAAAGTTTGCAAAAATACTACTAATGTCCGTTATTTTTTGAGAATCAACAGATTTCAAATATCTAATATTTATCCACGCAATAACCCTGACATACAAGAATCCTTCATACAATTCTAAGGGCTACATTTCCACAAACAAAATGCCTAACAAAAACACTTAACCTAAACAAAATTGTGTCCTCATTCCGTCCGACTCCGTATACTTTATTGAAACTTCAGCTATACTGGACAGAACATAGAGTCGATTATCGAAAAGTTTACCTTTTTCTTTTGCAAGGTCTTTTTGGAGGCAGCGCGTCTAATGAGGCATATAGAATAAAAAAGCTGTATGTCTTTCGTTTCTTTAAGGCTTTGGGTGTCTTCAGGGCCATTTAATTTTAGACTGGCCACTCTTGTGATGAAGCCATTTCTGAACATCGTTTGATAATTTTAGACCGCTTTTAGGGCTAAGAAATGTGCGACTTTGATTACGTGTCTTTGGTGATTCTTAACTTTTTGCAAAGTATTTGGACATGTATTACTTTTGAAGTTATACTTCAAAAGTGAAATTTTACGATGCGCGCGCACCGTGACACAAAATTAACAGAATGAAGTTGCCCACGGAAGATGCTACGGCATTGGACATAATTTAAAAACAACATTCGAATAATAATAGAATTTATGTTACACTCAATGTAAGAGAATAATAACAAATATTTATTTATTTAATTTTTCAAATGTAAACTGAACTTTATTGACTATAATGACTCCTTTTCCAGTCTTTGATTATTTAATTGTAATTAATTATTTGCATGCAATCAAAAACTATTTTTAATAATGCCAAGTGTTTGTTTACAAATTATGTAGGGCATACATTTATCGCAAAAAATAAAACACACAATAAGAAAAAAGCAATTTAAGTAACGTTTCCGTCAGAAAAACGCAAATGAAAAGCTTCGTAAATAACTCTAAATTTTGTATGTAAATGGCACGCAAAGGTTTGTAGGTTACACTAATAGAGATTTCGAGACTATCAATCAAAAGCAGAGACTGGTGCTTATGGAAATTTGTCTAATATTAACAGTCATAAAAATGAACGCTATCTTAATACGAATAACTTAATTATTTTTTTACTTCGTCTAATGATTCAAATAACGCCAAATATTATGATAAGACAAAGACAGCTTTAGTTTTAATGGTGTTTTCTTTCATTACTTTGTCACGCTCCTAGAAAATGGCTGTAACTGTCTCCGTATTGGGATTCCAGAAAATAATTTAGACCTCACTTCCTTAATCAATATTAGTACGGTTGTTTTATTATCACTTGAATTTAGTGCACACAAAAACAAGGCAATTTTGTACCATTCATGGCTTATTTCAGATTGCTTGTGCAGAGTTAGTCGAAAAAATCTACCTATCTAAACATCACACATATATGACATAAAAATAAGAAATATTTATTTAGAATTAAAACCCCTTGGCACAAACTAAGATAGTATAAACTAGTTAGAACCGGTGACATCGCACATCAATCCATCCGCCACCGGTTACCGTGACGTACGCCATTAATATCACAAAACATGGCGGATTTGTTTTGGCGCGCTGAAATACAATTAATTGATTCGCCGCACGCAATATGTCACGTGTTAGGGTTACCAGTTGCAAAAATATATCGTAGGCTAAACCAAAATCTCCTAACCTATATTCATCTATGAAGCAAATGCTATAATTTTAGATGATTTTTATTATGAACGAAAGTTTTGAATCTGGTAACCCTATAAAGCCGGCTTACCCTTAATTTTGTATTCTAAACTAATAGTACAGAGGCGTACATTACGCACCGACTAATTGCGCTGACTGTACTGATTTACTACTAATTGCTTAGCTAATTTTAGGTCGTTGTACACGGTACAATTTAGACAACTTTGAATTTTACGTACATTTTGATACGACTTCTAGCTAATGGGGTAATTAATTACTCTTTGTACAAAAATGTATATATTATAGTTATTTTAATACGTTTTCTAGCACGATTAGCTGCAAGGTTTTTCCACGATTATTATTATATTTGAAAATAATATTTGGGATTCCAAATACTAATCTAATTAAATAACTTTTTTTTTTTTAGATTTAGGTGCTAGGTTTATATTTTCATGACTAAATCACTTGTCACGATAAGATCCACACGTTCCTTAATGTAAAAGGTATGTAAGTATATTATAATGATATAAGTTTGCATAAATTATTTCGTATTATACCTTGTATAAAGTTACTCAAAACTTTATAAAAGGTAATGATGAGAGTAAACTCAGTGATCTGTGAAACACATCACAAGGTAGCTTATAACTTTTACTTTACAATTTACCTTTAAAAGAACCTTTTTGCTTTTTGTAAAGAGTCAATGAATTGTAAATAATTTGCATTACTTTTCGTATATTTATAAAAAGCTGAAAGCTTAAGAATTACGGTACCATCACGCATAGAGACTACCGCGTCTTTGCATGGAATTGATATATTTAACGTGATCTTGGTAGAGGAAGGAACTTCTACTCTTTCTCCAAAACTGAAGAAAGGATCCTCGACCAGTCAAACCACTAACTGGCCATTTGGTCAAGATGTTGTATATATACTCAGCACTGGGATATAAGTCTATTGATTGTAAGTTTATCGAATCATATATAGTAGAATTGTATAATTTGCAACATTTTCTCAATTTCATTCATTAACTCGTGACAAAAATGAGCTTTGTAAACAAAATCATTTGAGTGGCGTCGGGAAAGCGGCCATCTTAGCTAGACCATTCATTAACAATAATGTGTTTGCTGTGTAACGTTATTAAGCTTGTTCTGCTTTAATATGACGCTTTATTTACTTGGTAATATTTTTTTAGAATACCTTTACGCAAATTTTGTATTAAAACTTCAGTGAAAATGTAGTTTAAAATAGCAGACTGCATCATCAGTATAGTGAACCATTTAATACGAGTGTTATTCCGATTGTAATTTATAATTTAATTGTTAGCATTTAAAGGACTAAAGGATGTCAACACCTTACTAATTCGTAAAATTGATAATGAAAAACCGACAAATGTGTTACCCATTCCCCAGCGTGGGACAATACGGCTTTACTTTCTTACTGAGAGTACGAAATTAGAGACGTATTTTAATGATAAAATAAATGATATTAAAATTCTTTTGAATAAATTAAATGTTTAATATATCTAACTCACAAATGTCTGCAAGTAACAGAAATTAATTCCAAATAACAACTACAAGTCCTCGAAGGCTTGATACTCAGTACGAATCTTTTTTCACTGCTTTAGTGCTTTTATACCTATCTTGTTTCACTAATTAAATTTTGCCTTGAGTTTTTATGACAATATTTGTTACAGACAGTAATAACTAATACTACTTAGACATACTTTAAACGTTTTGTGGTAATTAAATTATTTTAATACTTTTGTCACACACGATTTGTTCATTTGAAGTTTAGTATTACTTTTGTATAATTTGAAAATAGAATGCCATGTTCAACAAAGATTTTTATATTAACGCTGTACATTTATTTGCATTAGCGGTACTAATATGTTTTTGTGTGTTTGTGTGCGATGTATACCTTGATACCCTCGTGATCACCAAACAAGGTTGGATACGTGGTTTCAGAGCTAGTGATGGAAATTATGTCAAGTATATGGGTATACCATACGCAACGGTTAGCAAAGAGAATCCTTTTGGCGTAAGTATACAAGATCTTTTGGTGTCTTTACAAGTTCCAACAGGAAGGTATTTCTATCTAGTCACTCCCCCACGTTCTGTTGTTAAAGTATAATTTCTAATATATTATATACTTTTAGGCAGGTTTAAGTTTCGTTCTAAAATACATCTTTTTGGACGTTAAAATAATATCAATACAAATTTGAATAATTTTAGGAATCCACACCGTTTCCGAAATTAAAGGGAGTTTTCCAAGCAAATAAAAACAGGATAATGTGCCCACAAGTAGATATGCTATCACTGCAATACGTAGGAACGCTAAACTGCCTTCGTTTAAACGTATTTGTTCCATACACTAAAGTATCGAAACCTGTGATGGTTTTTATTCATGGCGGAAGATTTACGCTAGGATTTACTGGAACATTTCAAGGCACACACTTCCATGGACCAAGGTATTTCATGAAACACGATGTCATATTAGTAACTATAAGCTATCGTCTTGGGCCATACGGTTTCTTTTGTTTAGATTCACCAGAAGTTCCAGGTAATCAAGGAATAAATGATGTTATTAAAGCCTTAATGTGGGTAAAGGAGAACATACACGCATTTGGTGGTGATACTAATAAAATCACTGTGTTTGGCCATAGTGCTGGATCAATGATAACGGATTTGTTACTGTACACCAAAGCCGAGAAATATATCGATCAAGCTATTCTACAGAGTGGCACTGCTCACGCGGCTGATGTTTTGTGGAACGTCAATAATAGTGTTCCACTGATAATTTCTAAACATTTGGGCCTTGAAACAAATGATTTAAAAGAGGCCCTAAGTTTTTTGAAAAGTCGCTCAACACAAGATGTTGTTGTTGCTGCAAAAAATCTGTCAATAGAATTCAGACCATGCATTGAAAAAAGATTTGAAACCTATGATGGTTTAATCAACAAAGATCCTTTTAATACTAAGCCAAGCGTAAAGAATAAAAGAATAATTTTAGGACACACAACTGAGGAATATAATATGAAACTTCAGAAACCAATACAATATTTTAAGGACAATGACGTTTTTGATAATATGCTGGAATACGAGTTTGATTTCAATAACGAGAAAGGAAAAGAGGCAGTCTCATCAGTGCGTCATTTTTATATTGGTGATAATGAAGTTAACGAAGATCTGAAATGGAAAATAGTTAACTTTACTTCGGACATTACATTCAATTACCCTGCTTATAGAGATATGGATAAATTTATAGAAAATGGCGCTGAAAAGGTCCTATTTTTATTAACTCATAGTGCAATACTTAAGTAGTTAAAACATATTTCTGGTCATTGACTATATAGAAGATGATTAAAATAGTAATAATAATGTTTTTATAAGTTTAAATTTAGAATACATACAAGATTAATTATATTTAATGTATTCAAAATAAAAGTCGTACTACTATAATTATTAATAATTTAATCTATAAATTTTTTAGGTCTACTACTACATATTTGCGTACACGAGCTCGTCAAACTTATATAAGAAACTATTGAATATATCTGTTGGAAGATCTATTCATGGGGATGAATTGGCGTACCTTTTTGAAACCAACACAATACCACCTCTATCTGCTTCAGATATAATTATAATGGAAAGGATGACGACTATGTGGACGAATTTTGCAAAATACGGGTAAATTTTTATTTTTGCAAGTATTACAAATTTCTATAAGCAGCTGTTAAAAACGTGAATTACATAGTAGTTCATTTTCAGGAATCCAACTCCTAACAAAACTGAAATGTTACCAGTGCAATGGCTTCCAATAAGCAAAGATAGTAGAAATTATCTCCTGATTGATCTAGACGAAGAAATGGGTGAAGATCTGTACAAAGATCGCATCGATTTCTGGGATACATTTTATGAAACCTACAAACAGTTTATGAGGCCGAATAAGACCTTTGTTAATTTATTATTATAAAAAACAAATTCGGGTCCATGAAATATTAAAGAAGACTTTTCTTGGATTACACGAGTAATGCACATTTCAATATCGCATTAAAATTCGTTACAAACGCGAATTTATTAAAAAAATTAATTCCACGATTTAAGTGTTTATATGTTGTGGTTATCGAGAGATTGTTGCAGAAATTCGACAAATAACAGTTTGATATTTATATATGATATATGATTAGATTATAGCTAAAATATGATAATGTAATAAATACGATATTTCCGATAAAGTATTCAGTATTAAGTCAAAGTTACATAAACTAATAAATTACATGAATATAGAATCACTTGAAAGGAGCTTCAAAACCTAAAATGACCCTAATAAACGGAATGACCGAAACACTACATCATAACTAACAAATTACAGACATATCTTAATCCGGCGAAATTCTTCATTTGCAGCCAAAAAGGCCAAAATTCCACAGTCGAAATAGCCAACCGGGCTATCAAATGTGGCATAGCGGTATAAATTAGCTATTTCATGTATTATGCAAAACGATGTCCCCTCATATAGTCATATCTCGGCACGGCAATGCTTTACCCTACTTAACCTGCTGATTAGCTGAACCTCACTAAACAGGCAATGAGGATGCATGTTAATATACATCACAGGTGTGACAGCATCACTCGGACACCATCCGCACGTAAGTCGCATAATTTATAATTAACCTTTAAGAGATTTTCCCTAGAAATACCACTGTTGTCTACATGCTAATAGCTATCCTTTAATGCAGTCACAATGAATGTGACAAATATTTTGATTCAATAATTATTGTATACTCCACTATATAGCTCCACTGGATTAATAATTTTAAATACGCAAAAATGGGATAAGGTTCGTAATATTTCAACCTAAACAAGTCTCTTCTCAATTAACTACGTACATGCATTAGGGTAATTATACTGCAACGACAATACGTAGGGATTTGGAGCATTAGGAACATAGTGGGGTCATCTTGGCTGGGGGTTAACAGGCGTCTGCTTAATATGGGCGCTTAATATCTTAATTGTTCTCCAGGATTTATTCGAGTTAAACTAATATCATTACCATACAAAATTCTTTTGAAGATTGTAATCAATTTACTCTAATAAGTAAGTAAGTAATAAGTGTAGTTTCAATTAAATTTTGAACAGTTTGTCCAGAGTCATAAGATGATGACCTGATCATGCAACCTAGAAAGTCCTAATCGATACCGATCCGGTTTTCTTGTACCTGCACAGTGATATAATCAAAAGTGACCTATGTTATTTTCTAAGCGTATTCAGCGTGCATGTGGAATAGTATTGACTTTAGCATGTTATGAATACACAAACAACACTCAAATGTAGGTGATACTTTAAAAGGCTGTCCATTTCGCTACATGGAGACAATTTTAATCGGTTCCGAATTTGAAATGTCCTAAGCAAAGAGTTCCTAGTTAAATTTTGAAACCTTTTTAAACGGAAAAAGTTTATTAGGAAATTAATAGTATTCTGACAGTTTAAAATATGTATGGAAATACAACATAAATAGACAAATTAAATCTATCCTAACACGAAAAGATACACTTATTACGATTATGTTTAAAAATATAATAAACGTCCTTTTTCTAACACTCCCCAATTCTTTCGAGATAGGTCCAAGAGCAAGGTGTCATCACGCGCCAGTCCCGCGGGCACTACGGACATTAATAATTCAGATGACACTCGCGAGTGAAATAGCCGTGATTTACGAGTGGAAATGTCAATTGCACTACTTTAGATTTGGTGTGGGACGTTCAGTTTTGAATTCTCTTCGATATTACTTTTGAGCTGCTAGATTTTATTTTCCATAGTTCATTTGTTTGTTGCGCTTAATGTTTAGTCTTGTTTGTACTGAATAAGTTTATTTAAGTTGTTGGCCTAAACAAATTAATAAATAAACTAATAATAATTAATCAATAAATAAAAAAATACCAGTATAGCATACCGCTGCAATTTAGACAGGCAACATATTTACTTAGATTTACCTACCGCTTAAATTCACAGGTAATCAATATAATCTACTATTTACCTACATCAATATTCATAAATATATCTTGTTCATTACAACAATGTAACAAACTATTTTTTACGTTACTGTTCTACAATAATGTATAATTAAATAGTTCCATAGTATGTAGTTGAGTAATTCTATACACTATAACCAATATTCATTAAGCTTTAATTGGGGAACCTACTCGTAAACCTAACGATCCGTTGTTAAAACTTTGTATACACCCTTCCATAATTACGGCTTCTGACAATACTAAAATTGTCTCTATAAAGGTCGATAACAACGCCCCCCCTTCTTTTTTTTTTTTTTTTTATTTTCGTTGTTCTATCCAACATGAAATTCATCTAGAAGGCGTAGAAATTAAGAATGCTCGTACTTGATGATCAACTTAAATTTGATGTAAATCGATACCTCTCAGCTTTCGGTATACACTACAAAAGATTACGAAAGAATGCTCTTGTTCTAGCTCTAGTTATGTTCGTTTGATGTACAATCACCAACATGTCATCGCGTAGAAGTAAGAGTCATTTGACTTGGTTTAATTTAATTTTTATGTTTAAAATTAACTGCTTAACTTAATTATATATACTGTGTGTAGAATAGAATTATTAAGAAGTCTAGAGAAGTTATATCTAGTATGTATAGAAGATATAAAAGATCTTAATATAGTAATTACTTTTATAGTAATTCGATCCTACCTCATTGGTGTTCCAGCGATGCCTTTGAGCGGCAAAATGTTCCGCTCGCGGCAAGCTCTCTAGATTTTCCGGCAACTTGATTGGTTCACCGTCTGAAAAAGAAGATAAGGTATTTGTTATTAATATGACAGCTTCAAAATATTATAGGATTTTACATTTTATCGGTTTGGTAATTTGACATCCAGCGCTAATCACCGATAATAATCTAATTTAATTTTAATTAATTGTTATTAAGTTATTAAAATCAAATTAAATTATTTATAAACAAAAATATTTATTACAAAAAGGAAAAGCAATTATTATAAATTGTAAACCATATAACAGATGCTCATTTTAATTTCCTCCAAACGGAATTCATTTTATTTAAGTCTAAAGCAACTGTACTTGGTCAAAAGTCCATAAATTATGTCGGAACAGCGACAAAGCGCAACCACACCGTAAATATTCTAGTCTATTCAGTTAAAAAAATAAAAGGCCCAGAAAGAATTACAAGAGGCTAAAAATGTGTCTCACACGTTATCTGGGAACCACGATTGGACAAAATTAGTGGGCACTCGAGCAAAAGCTTAGCTGGCGAAATTTCTTCCTTCTACACAAACGACCAATTTATTTCTCCGGCCCCTTAACTGAAAAACGAAGGAAAATCTTCTTAATTTCAACTGTATAAGAGCTTATATTTGGGCCCAGTTTAGAACATTAAATTGGAAACTACGTACACCGGACGGCGACGGAATTTCAACAAGTTGGTCCATAGATTATTGCAAATTTAAACTCGCTGCTGCTCCGTCACTATCTCTAGGTGAGTAAGGTTAATTTTAGTGTATCAGGTTGGGAGAACTATTTGTCGTATATAAGGCAACTCCGCTAGCAGCGCAGACATTCTTGACGAATGTTGCCAAAAACCTCGTTTTCACCCCGTTCTCGACTTCCATTATTGTTTCCCCGGTGTTGAGATTGTAGTTATATAAATGGCAATTCTAAGCTGTGTAAAGGCAATCATTAGTCATTTTAATAATATTTTTTTTCACAATTCTTATAACTTCTTCATTCTATTCGCTTTTGTTTGTTACGATTAGCTTTATGTAGTTACGTTTTATTGGACATATAAAGCTTTAGTTTAGATTTACATTATCTAAAAACAAAAGCTCTACCGTTAGATAAACTATTATCTTTAATGACGTTCAATTATCTGAACTATAACGACACGTATGTAACGTGTCAAAAAATTCAGGGCAACTAGATATTTAATTGTGCAAAATATGATTTAACTAATAATGTATGGTAACCGAACATTATCGACTTTAACACAATCTTATCTGAAGCACGTCATCAAAACGGCCTGATTTAAAAACTGTGTCAATTTTGCGATTCAAGTTTTAATTGCTTTTTATTTGGTTTAGTTGCGCTCGACGAATAATTAAATGTTTTTATTTATACAACACCTAGGTACTTACAATTCTTTATTTTTCATGTGTTTTATACTTATGTATTTAGTTAATAAAAATGTATTTCCGAAAGAGATTTAATTAGTAGTTGTGTTAAAAAATTACAGATTTCATTTTTATGCAGTTTTATACGTATGGTACAGCAAAAGCTAGGAGTTTTAAATGCAAGACATTTTTAGGGTATATTTCTACATTAATATTTTATCTTCATGTATATTTATTAATCCAAATATTGTATCGTTAAACTTTAAACCCCTTACTCCAACGACTATTAAATACTATTAATATTCTAGTTCTAGTTACCGACTAACGAAACGAAAACGTTAGTTGCTTAGGAGTAAGACAGGAACATATAATTAAATGTATTTTCAATAACAAAAATCAAAGTACTACTAAGTACTAATTACGCTCAAAAACTTCGCTAGCAAAGGCAAAGTAAAAAGACAAAATGGAGTCAAAAATCAGACACAAAAGATATATTATTCGTAACTCGACGTCGCTAGGTACATAACTAATGACCCACTACTCCTAACGAACAAGCGAAACTTCTTTGTAGCCACCCCTACGAGTAGGGTTGTAGCAATTTAGACAGCATACATTTTGCATTTTATGGAGTTAAGACTATTTACTGTATGCAAATGGATTTCCTTCAAAAGAGAACAAGACTAGTTAATGACAAGGAAAGGGAATTTTCAAATGAAAAACCATAATCCATAAATCGACATTGCAAATTTTCTCAATTCAATTATGAGTATCACGGGTCATTTATAGAAATACATAGTCCTATAAAAATAATCTTCTCTAACGAAACAAGTCCAACCTAAGTAAGGTGTGTTCTACTGTTTTCAAAGACAAAACATAACATAACAAACATTCAAATTATAATTGAAACGTATTCCGCCCATTACGGTTTAGTAACCGTTGTGTTAGTTTTTTATAAAATTTATCAAGATGAAGACATGACAATCAGTTTGGAAAATATGGCTTTTTAATATCACATCTTCATTCAATATTTGTTTTCTTTATTTTTGCAGCCCTGTAAAGCTCTCGAGCCGTCCTTTGTTCTACTGGCCTTAACACGAGTCGATTTAGAGGGTTCAGGGTGTGGAAAAATTCTTTTTATTATTTCACATCTGGCGCCATGTTATATCGACCATTATATTGTTACTGCTTCTTTTGCATTAGTATGTAGTACAAATATTGTTACTAATAAAACACGTGGTTAATACAGCCAGGTTAATGATGTTAAAACGTAAGTAGGTACTGAGGTAGTTTTCATAGGATATTTTTGGGACCTCTATTTTTAAGTGTTATGAACTTAATACATCTTAATACAATCTCATTATAAAATGATATTTTTTACATCAGACAGCCGTATTAATTTTAGTCTTCAGGCCTTATTCTGATTTTGGTTTTTGGCAAGGATCAAGGTTAGAAAAGTAACTATGGAAACTGTAATATACATTTTAAACGACCATAAAACAAACTTCAAGTATTTGTTAAAAGTTTATTGTTCATTTTAATTATTACTCACTGATATAAATGAAACTGTGCAGATTTGTCAATTGCTTTCTTTAAACAAGTAAAAAATTACTGAAAAAATTAAAGCCAACGGGATTACTAACCATTTCTACATTGCTTGCCTTAACAAAGCTGGTAAAACAGAATCCTAACAAGTCGGTTGGTAAACAATTAAAAAATCTGACATAAAAATCATATTAAATAAATAAGTAGATAAAGCAGCCACACCGAAATATTTAGGCCAATAGAATATAGATTTAAATCTTTCATTTTATCAGTACAATTGCTTCTCTTATAAAACATTACACCTGGAAAGGCAAACATCGAAAGAAATATCGAAATAGGCAGTAACTACGACGACACACATTTTCTACAAGTTTATACCATGTACAATTTTATAATTTATTGTAAAGATGTATTTATCCAAAAGTCTAAACAATAATTATGGCCGCTTGACATAAAAAATGCTTGTAATTACAACACTATAAATTATTTAATTAATCGTTACTCGTCACATTTTATCTCGCATTTAACGCTCAAGGTGAAATAATTCTTTTTTATCTAATAATTATTATATTATTATTATCTTTAGTAAATTATATCTATATATTTTTCTACCTTATAACAAAATAAATACAGACACTTTAGTACAATAGAAAATGTTATTGAAATATACATAATACAAGTTACTGTTGATATAATAAATATTTAAACTAATTTACATATAAATATTCAGAATTATAATTATAAATATCATTGAAAAGTCTTATAATATGTGTGTTTGAACTTAGGATTATTATAATACATAGTCATCGTTTACTATAATATCTATCTATCACGTAATTAATGATACAGCAGTTTTTATGCCTTACCACTTAACTATACAACAGATATAGATCATAATGCTACTCATAAAGCACTTATAAAATATAAAATTAACTATTGCATTTACGAATTTTTCTAATTTACTGCACTTTCTTCTTCCCCTTAGGTATAAACAAAGCGATTGATTTCTGTAATAACTCTGTGAATATCATAGTTCCAATAAAGACTAATAAAGTACCGGTCCAATGACCAAATGTGAAGGGATTTTTGAAATACAGAATAGAAAATATAAGTGATACAAACTTTCGTAGTGTAACCGTCAAAGTCACAACTAGGGATGCACATTCCGTAGTCAATACATACACGGCGCTGATACACAGACCTTGTGTTAACACATACAAAATTAGCCACAGGACTTGGCGCGGTAGAGTAAATCCAAGGAAATCCACAACTGGTGTATCTAACGCTATGCTTACATGGTTTGTCAAATTAGTAGCTGTCGGTAGCCAAAATACCAAAGGCAGTAAATGCGTGTAGTATAGCGCCTCCCACGGATGTTTTCCGAATTTAGAATACAGGGATTCTTGGAAGATACCCATTCTCGCTGATACGAATAGAGCGAAGGTCAAAATTCCTATTCCCAAACACCACCAGAGCCAATCTATGAATTTTAGTTTCTCCTCCTCGGCAGCATCTTCATGCGTTTCTCTGGGTGCTTTTACATCCCCGCTCGATTGTATTGTACATATGGCAATACCAGCGGATATCATGAATATAGCTAAGTATTTTAATACTGGGTAGCGTTTCTTCAAAATCCAGACGCCCATAGCCATATTTGCCATGAGGGAACCGGCTCGGAATATCATATGTAGTGGCATAGATATGTTAAAATCGAACGCGTAATTGTTGGCAACACTGCTTGTCCAGAAAAATCCTACCAATAGCAAGTATTGCTTAAATGGTATATTTCGTTTAGCTGTACCAAATTTTCCAACGGTACAGAAACCAATACAAGCTATAAATAAGAATTGCAGGAATGTTGCCAGATTTCCCGCGCCTGGGTCTTCCTTAACGACGAATTCCAAAAACACAACATTGGAACAACATCCCACAAACACCATACAAATGGCTAATGCAGCTTTGAGGTTCATTCTGTATCTGAAAAAAAAAAAAAAGGTTATTCCGATACCGGGAATCGAACCCGAGCCTCCTGGGTGAGAGCCAGGTATCCTAGCCACTAGACCATATCGGATGATATGAAGCTAGTCAAATTTGAAGTTTATAAGATGATATTGAAATGATAACGAATAATTCTAAGGTAATATAATATTAAACTCACATCTGTTACTAATTTATTATTATTTATATTAATAAAATGAAAATATCTTATCGAATTGTTACAAAAAATGACATCGATCCTTGTAAATTCTACGGTTAGCAACAGCTACGTAATAATAATTATTATTCGTGTCAAAAACTATTACACAGCAAGTTGTAAAAGCGTTTAATGGGTAAATTGTAATAAAATACTTACAATTTTAGCACTCTGTCACAAAATTCATAAATAAACACGGGAATCACGAAACTAAACACATTCTGACAAGCAGTACACGTTTGACAGCGACAGACCAAAGTCGCTGCATGACGTAAAACGTGTCTTGATTGGTCGAGCCGGTGGCCCTGGCCTCGAACGATAACACGCATGCGTAGATAATAACTCGTCTTTCACCATTTTATTCACCACTAGATGGCGCTTATACAAATGTATTATATTCCAAGGTGAAGTTACGTACATTGGTGATATTGTTTTAACTAAGTTTTTCTAAGAAACAATTTTCGTAGATTTGTTTACGTAAATTAAGATTTTTATAATTTACATTATATTTATTTATAAATGACGCGCGCTTTGTTATTTGTTTCTTTCTAACCAGAAGCGCTTCTATCTTCGCTGGAAAGAATGTCGTAATTTAAATTGCATCCATTGTATTGCTGAATGTAAGCTTCCATTCTTCCACAGTATGTCACACCTAATGAGTGTTTGCTTGGCAAACTGTTCCACTGACTTCAATCTTCAAATTAAAAAAACTAAAAATAATAACCCGGTATAATGACCCAGTTGTGATTTTTACCATTGCTGTTGTTCAGTTTAGTACAAAGATCCAGGACTCAAACCCTATATAAAGAAAGAAGCTTTTAGCACATAGCTGAAACTAAATAGCTGAAAATAAATGAATTGAAAATAATTTATCTGTACGAATGTTATTGATACTTATATAATTGTGGTTATTCACTACTTAAAAAGAGGTTTCTTACTTTAACAAAAAATATATAATTTTGTTACAGGTTATAGATAAATAACATACGATTTATATTATTATTATCTAATCTAAACATGCAATTTAGAGCAGTTGGCCAAGTGGCTCAAGCGTGCGCTTTTGAACCCTGAGATCGTGCGTTCGAATCACAGCTGTACACTAATGAACTTTTCCTTCTATGCGCGCAATTAACATAAAGGAAAACGTCATGGGGAAACCGGCACGCCTTAGAACCAAAAGTCAAGATGGAAAACTACTACCTAACTATTAAGAAAAATAAATGATCACATAAGAGATGCAGAAAGCTGAAGAAAACAGTCTCCAGTGCGCCAGTGTTTTTTTTCTGTTGTTTTTTTTGCCAAAAATTACGCTCATTGGGAAATGTGGATCGAGGGATCTTGAAAACTTTTCTAAATGTCACCTACTACCTTAAATTGTCCTTAAATACAGGGTAAAAATAGTCAATATATCATTGAATAGGGAACGTATCTGATATTAAGGGGCGGTACAACCGATAAACGTAGATTTATAGAGGTTTTATTATCATAACAATAAGTTGCCTGGCCCGACTTCAGAAATGGGCCCATTATAGCTAAAGTTAGTGGGATGCTTAAGCACAATTTGTTTTTAGAATTTCCGGTTAATTTTTATTTTATCTTTTCGGCTAGACGTGCCTAGCTCAAGACTCCCTTAAAACATTTATAAGTTAGAAATTGGGTTTAAAGGCAGGCAGCATAAATACGAACTAGCATGTATGTAATCTAGCATGATGTAAACCTCTTCCCGATATCCTATTCAAAAACATTACGGAATCCGATAATACGAGTATTAAGTTCAAAAATGGAATAGGAATGGAACATACAATTACAAAGAACTAAAGCCAATGAATTTAGAATGCTTGAAAGCTTATCGGTTGTTTTTTTTCTTTCTTAACTTTCAAAAATAAGAAGATTTTCAAGCAAAAAAACTGTCTAGAATCTAAATGTTAGGCGCAGCGACGCATCACAAGCACGTGGTTCAACTCATCAATCATGTCTAATCTATCTAAAATTAAACGTTCAACCTTTGTAGCTTTTAAAGATATTTTTAGCAGGGAGATTCTAAATCGTAGATTTAAAAGTGCGTAGGCTCATTGTATACAGAAAGAACAAAACAACGACAAATTTTAATTGACCATCATACCTAGGCAATAGTAAAATCAATGTATATTGTATCTAAACTAAAAAAGAGAATTCAATATTATAACAAAACAATCTTGCTTAATGTATAGGCTCTTGAAATGTTAGAAATAGTGACCAGACACCGTTTTGCCTCATAAAATAATGTAGGAAAACGAAAAGTATAGATACCTATTTTGCTATTACCATAGACAATAGGTACAAGCAACTGACATGTCTAAGAACACTTAGAAAATGTCTGTTAAAAGTTAAGCTGATTTCAGTTATCTCACGTTAAGTTTAACAGTTATCACGTATACAATTTAAACAAAATAATAAAACGCTATTTGGTATTTTCTTTATTCCAAAGATCTATGTATTTTTAACATTTACTTCAGTACTTCTTCTGTGTTTCAACTTCATTCAGAAGTTTCAAATTTATCAGAATCTTTATTAAGGTATAAAACTTAGAGATTGAATGATCTTTATAATTATCGTTCAAAATAAATAATAGCTCATATTTAATAGTTAGGCGCAAATTATTAATCACAATTATCAATTGAAAAGCAAAAAACACAATGTTAAATTTTTGTATTGGCTTTACGAAAACGATTATAGTTTAAATGTAGTAAAACTTTAATTTTAATTTTAATTTTTAAAAAAAAAAATAATATAAGTATTACCTTATAGCAATATTTACTCTTCGATCAAAAACATTTACGAATCCAGTGGTCACAATAGAATAGACAATTTTAGAAGTTACTGAAAATTTGCGAACGTGGAGCGTGAACGGTGCGCGCTTCGCGCTCAGCGCTCCAATGGGTGGTGGTAAATTGGGCGAACACAAAGGGGAGCTCAGTCTGTTCGTGGACAAGAGGACTGTGGAGCTATGGAGATACGCGTTACCGTCTCCATCAGAGCGGTTACGGGAGCGCGGAGCGCAAGAGGTTCGCGAACATAGTGGATACCTGGCTAAACATTTAATGTTCATCCCATGTTTCATGTTGGTTGCTACGGTGAACTCTCCGCTCAAATTAAAGTTACGTAATAAAGGTGTAGATTCGAAGATATCTCCACAATATTCGGATAATGGCATATTTGAGATTTTTAAAATGAAGACTAATGTTACTAATGGAAAAGGATTGACATATACATATTGGTTGTCAAATATTGATTTTGTGTAAACTAGCTTAAATTTACAACAATTTTTATGTATTCTTGAGTTATGATCTTAATAAAGTAGTTAACTTAATATTTATTTATTATTAATTGTATTACTTTCATAAAATCTTAAATTTAATTCGGCTAATTTGTAATACGATATTCATTGTTAGGCTGTACGAAGTTCGCCGGGTCAGCTAATATAGCCTAATATCTTCGCACTAACCCTATGTCAAGTTAGAAAACCTCGACATTCAATTGGTGAAGAAGCCCCTGCTGATCCACTTTGCCCAGTCTTTATGTTCTTCAAAGACTCCTTCTTCGACAAAATATAATACATAAGAAAATAATTTAAATATGGAAACGTTCATGTCCAGTTGATATCAGTGTCACTTAGCATAATATTATGTATGTTACCGTGCACACATATATCATTTGTAACACTGCAAGGGTGTTAGAACGATGACTGTGTTCGTGTTGAAATTCTTGGTACATTTTATGCTTTAATTTAAATATCATATTTTTAAAGTAAATGTTGACATAAGACAATTGTTAGAAATGTACATATGTCTATAACTAGTTGTTAGGTAAATTGTTTCATTATTACTTAAATTTTTAATCAATTTATCTATTTTTGCTTTATTTTGTGGTCTATGCCCAAATCTTAGTAATGTATTAACATAGTGACCACAGAGGACTTATGACTCGATTTCTAGTGCATGGTGTATAGCTTATAGTGTTCCTCAATACAAAGGACTCTCCATATATTATGTCAATAAGTTAAAGTTATCTCACAATATTGTCTTATTTAGAAAGTCTGGAATTTATGAAGTCTGTTTTTGTTTAACTTATATCAACTTTGTTCTGAAAAGGAAATATAACCAATGGTATGCGTTCATAACGGCGATTCTTTTTTATTAATATATAAAAAAGGAATGAAATCAAATTTCTTTTTCAGATTTTATACCTTATTATCTTGAGTTTTAATTCTTCTGTGTCCCCTTTACTGATTGTAATGACAGCCATAATTAGAGTCTTATACACTACAGTTATACTAATAACTTATCGTAATTGCAACACAGTTAATTAGTCAGTTTACCCACAATTACTTAGCGAATATTAATTACGGGCGCTTTTAGACAGAACTAAGTTTGATCTCAATCTAGACAGTTTCCAACACCTAATGTTTCAAGGTAATTCATTATGCAACATTTGAGTATTGCTACATCACTCCTTTTCCGCAAATAAACTTTCCAATCGCATTAAAACTTATTTCAATTAATAATATTCAAACTTTCCGTGCATTGAACATTGATTTCAATTTAATACAGTGATAGAAATTTATGTGAGCAAAAGTGTCTATTATAATTATTATTACACAAACTGGACCAAATTAGGTTACCTTTTAAGTAAGCTCAAAAGCGACCTAAATAATCTAAAATCGTACATTTCCTATAAAATCACAACTTAATAAAAGCGACTATAAATGGAACTCACGTTGCTGACTGTAGAGATAAG